TTCTGGAGCATAAAGATTTCATTCGATAAAATAAATCACAATTGTATAAAAACCAACCCAGTTATTTCTGCCTATATTGTAAAATGAGAGCAAAAACTGTGAAATACAAAACGGTATGAAGCCGGTGTGTGTTGAGCAATAAGAAAAAAACACTTTTCTTTGTATTGACAAGAGCGAAGCGTGAAAGAGCGACGGAGAAACGAACTCGAGATCATGCAGGAATGTGCACTTAAGAGCTGACTATTAAATATCCAACGATTTAATTTAATATCTATTCATACACATTTTAAATGAACTGCGTTAATGACATTAATACTTCTCCCACCTTACGTGCGGCGAGAGGGAGTGTTTCTTTAGGGAGGGAGCTTTCCTGACTAAAAAAATCCTTAGCGTTCCTACTCCTGCTTCGAGCTGGAGCCCCGGAATGTCGCGACCCATAGGTGGGTCGCAAGCGAATTGTTACTGAACCTTGTTGGTTTCTACCAACAAAGTTCAGTAGGACGCACTAACCAACTGTTTTGTATTTTAATTTTCATATTAGCAACGGTTTAATTCCATCATTATTTCGTTCAGAAAAAGCAATTACAATTTTTGTTAGTAAAAAGAGATAACTCTTATTAATTCTTGGAATTGAAAGTAGAACGTCAACAAAAATTTAAAAGTGAAGCTATTTGCTCGTTCGACAGTGTAGATTCCTATGGAGAAGAACGAGCAAGAAACTCCATAGTACTCTTATAGGTTACTCTTTTTCAATCAGGTTTACAATATAATTCATAAGTCTATTATAGCTATATTTTCATAGGACATATCTATTTTTGGACTGCTTTTTTGGCCGAGTGGTCGCAAGTGCGACTGCCGGGCAAGTTGTCTTGGGTCCTATTCCCGGGTCAGGCAAAACTTTTGTTTTTTTTTTTTTTTAAATGCTAGTACCTAATTAGCACGGTGTCAGAAATTGTGCCTGTCATATGGCTATAGGCTTACCCCCTATTACATGGGACTCATAGCTTAAAATACTGAAAAGTAGGTTACATAGTACATAGTGGCATTAAGTGCCGTAAATGTGCACCTCTGCCTACCCCTTCGCGGATAAAAGGCGTGATATATTTAATATTATGTTATATCTGTGTTTTATTAACCATGTTTATCTTAACGTAATGTTATTAGGAGTCGCGGAGAACCTAACGGGTAACCGGGGCTCCGGCTCGACGTGCAGCAGAAGGAACGGGGTGGTTTTTAGTCAGTAAGAGTCTGACACTCCCTCCCGCCTCACCCAGGCGGGAGCAGTCATTCGATGAAATTCATGATTGAAGATGAAATTCAAAAAATGTTATTAGGAACAAGATTTCATTGCATTACGTTATTGGATAGCACGTACTAGGTCGCAGAGCTAGTCAAGTTCTCTCGATATCAAATGACAAACGTCAAACCAAAACATACTTGTGGATTCCAAGAATAGATGTTCGAAGCTGTCAAGTCGCTACACATAACTTAGGTAAGTACTTAAAAAGTTGGCGATGGTTGATTTGTTACAAGTGTACCTGATAAGCAAGTGGTCTCCGTATCGATATTAGAACTCCTCAGAAACGCACACAAACAGATATTGGTTTTTCAAAAGTGCCTTATGGTCTCACACATAACATAACATCACGCCTTTTATCATATAGGTAGGTAGAGGTGCATATTATGGCACGTAATGCCACTGTCCAATGTAATACTCACTTTTCACTATTTATGTTATCAGTCCCATGTAGTAAAGGGAGAGCCTATTGCCAAATATCGGACACAATTCCAGATTTCGTGCTACTGCTGAGATATTTTTTAAAAACACAGTAATACGTTGCCCAACACGGGAATCGAACCCGAGACCCCTTGCCCGGCAGTCGCACTCGCGACTACTCGGCCAACGAGGCAGGCTTATGGTCTCATTAATGTTAATTATTAAAATTTGTGTAAGCACGCATTTTTACACATACATTACACTTACACAGCAGATAATAATGCGTAGTATCTAGTATCTACATATACCACCCATTTTACCACCTTCATTCATTATACATAATAATAAAATCATAAGAAACTCAAAACTGTACATTAAATATTTTTTAAAGTACCAATGCTCCTTAAGCTCAACATTCAGAAGTGTTTAACGACAATCGACTAAATATTTTTTTTTTATTTAGGGGGGAAAATCATCGAATAGGCATGGCGACTATTTTTTAATTTTTTGTCCGTCTTTTAGATATTTTAAAAATCTTCTTTTTTCTCGTATCCAAAATAAACATGTAGATATTTTGAGTTAACATAACGCGTGACGTCACAATTAGGTACGATTTCTCCGTAAGTGTGACGTCAACACCCCCCACTCCCTAACCTTAATGCGGAATAACTACGTATTCTTCTGTTAATTTGATAAAACAAAAAATACGTGTCTGATATTTTCGTGCGATCTTAAACTGTCAAACACCAAGCGGTCACCGGTGACCGCAACCTATTGTTCTTTAATTGTGTCTATAAATACGGTATTCGACGAGTTAATGACGGACTAATTACTTTTTTGATTTTTTTACCCTGTCGACACGCCTATTACTGCTCCCGCCTGGGTGAGGCGAGAGGGAGTGTCAGACTCTTACTGACTAAAAACCACCCCGTTCCTTCTCCTGCACGCAGCCGGAGCCCTGGTTACCCGTTAGGTTCTCCGCGACATCGACTAAAGCGTTACTGACACAATTATTCAATATTGTCGGTGATGGCAAGATGAACTCAGAACAAAATCTACGAGGCAACACCCTATGCAGGAGAGTGAGTTAAAATAATGCTTAGGACGTGATCTACGATCGGCATTGAAGCCTAAAATATCCTTTTATACTGTTTATCTGTTTATCTATGTATTTTTGGACGAAACTTAAGATACTATATGGATTTATTTTAAATATTGCACGCTTCGATCAACAATAACAACTAGATAAAGGGTTACGTACAAAATCAAGCTCCAGTTCTGTCCGTGTGAATAATAATAGTAAAAAAATAACAAACAGAGAAAAATGTTTTAAAATAGTTTTAAATTCAACCTAATAACAACCATGGCACCTAATTATAAAGTCATAAATCGTCAAAATATTATCTAATACTTACGACCATTCGTCACTTAAGACAAGAAAAGTATTTTCTTACTCCTGTCATGTAGAAATTAAAAGACATAAGTTATACAATATCTAGTTTGAATTCAACCTTAAGGTCGAACAAATAAAGATAATTTTTCCATTATTGTCTTGCGATCTATATCGTTTTGTTTTGTTTCGTTTTGCTTCTTCAAATTTCGAATTTCGCTACAGGAGGTATGTATGGAGTCGCGTTGGACACTAAAATAATTTTATAATATGAAAATTAACATTTCGGGATCTTAGTATACATCACTAATTTTTATTAGCGGTACGTTTTTGTGTATGATATGTTTATTTACTTTATCGTTAAAAGTCTAAGTCTAAGTCAAAATTATTTATTTCAGTTATACCAGGAAGGCACTTTTGAACAACAACAATATAAATTTAAAAGTGAAGCTATTTGCTCATTCCAAGGTGTAGATTCCTATGGAGAAGAACGAGCAAGAAACGATACAATTTCTTATTTTTTCAATACAAATCGACTCCATGCATCCACTGTTCTGTTTATACAAATGTTGGCGAGACTTGGCCAAGGAATCGCCAACACACGCACAAACATTGGTGGCGTTGGTTTATAATTGATAATTTTGTCTAATTTGATATTATTTACTAGTTTAAAAGCTTAAAATATAACTTATACTTTATGTACTTATCAAAAGTAAGACACTCCGGCCGTTATACTGCTTTTTCGGTTGTTATTTTTGCAACTTGCAATTACTCGTGAGACGTGAGTACGTTGGCCGTGTTTGGAGCATACTAAACAAAATAAGAGCTCACTTCTCAAGTGAGCTCTTATTTGTCGAGACGATTTTCTTGCGCCGACCCGATATCTAGTTGTTATTGTTGATCGAAGATTGCACGATTATTACTAAAGGTATAGGCTATATATTATCACGCTATCACCTACGGGGGAGGAGCTGTGAATTACTATTCCACGCGGACGAGGTCGCAGGTCCGGGTAGTGCATACCTACTATTTATTCAAAATCTGGTACATACTGACTATCAAGACCTTGTGAAACAGGCCCTTAATAGGCAAAAGTACATTAACAAGGGCTCAGAACCTCTGAGTATAAATTGTCCTAAGAAGGGCACTCAATATTATATTATAAACAATCCTACGTTTGCATGCCTGCTTGTAAAAACGCCACTTGAGAATACAGGGTTGAACTGAGTGTTCAAAACCACCAACAATATTTGAAATAATGTTTAGTGGGTGTATGGTGTGTTCAAGTGTTCCATAACATTATATTTGTGTGTAAAAATATATTAATGATGAAACATTATAAGTAAAAGCAATAAAAATTTCTTAATTAGAATCAGATTTTTTGTTATTAATATCTTTTCCATGGGCTACCGATTAGACCTAGTACACCTGCAATAATAGAGAAATTGTCAGTTGTTTCTTGATCAAAATAGTGTTTAAACTGTCAAACACCAAGCGGTCACCGGTGACCGCAATCTATTGTTCTATAATTGTGTCTATAATGACGGTACTCAACAAGTTAAGTCGTAATTAATTGATAAAAAAAACACTATTATTGATATTAACTCGTCGAGTACCGTCATTATAGACACAATTATAGAACAATAGGTTGCGGTCACCGGTGACCGCTTGGTGTTTGACAGTTTAAGAATTTCCACAAGCACCATCATTGAGAACATAACCTTAAAAATGAACTTATTTCGATAAAAAAAATACTCCCGTAATGCATCCCTGCACAATTTTCGTCACACTAATCATTATGGATTGAATTTCACGAAGTCTTGTGTTTATGTTATAATTTATATTTATGTGTTTAAAGTACCTATAATATGTTAGTTGTGGAGGGGAGAGGAAGTGATTAGGTTCTTGGTTATCCTGTATAACAGTACTTGAAAGGCAGGCATTGGAGGATAACCTAGTGTTGTGTGTGAATTGTGGAATAATGTCTACGTCTGAAAGATGTTGTTTTATGGTGCCGTTGAATATAGGATGTTTCGTAGTGGGAATTGTCAGTTGTGTAAGTGTCCATTTTTTTTTTGTTCCATAAAAGGAAGAGTTAATTGTTGCGTTATGAGGTTTTGAGAATGTCTAACTAATGTTGCGGTATGATATATATTTTGGTTGTAATGTAATTTTCAATGTAGATAAACGTTATTTAAGTTCATATTTATAAAAGTCATTAGCTCTATGGTAGACCGCATCATCGTTAACCACTAGGCGAGATATTGGTCAAACATCGGTACATTAAATATAAAAAAACAAAAATGTCATTCTTATTTCTAAAGAAAAAAAGATGGGAGTTAAAAAAACAAAATGGTAATCAATCATCATGCTATATTATGTTTTACGGGAGGTAACCTAAAGAGATAAATGTCCATACCTACTGATGGGTATACTAAGTAATGTTTCAAATGATTTTTTTTTCTTTGTAGGCTATTGCCTATTTCATATATCATTTACTAATGATCAAACCAACATATCTACCAATTTTGATAAATATTTTTCCGGTTACAAGTTTAATTAACCATAGGCACATATTTAGTTGTATATATACTATATAAATATTTGGATAATTATTTTACATACATACATACATACATAACTTCACGCCTGTCTACCATGGGGGTAGGCAGAGACTAAGGATAATAATTATTATTTTATTACACAAATATTTGTATGTAGGTTTATAAAATAAATATAAATATTTATTTATTTTCTTGAGACTGCCTCGTTGGCCGAGTGGTTCGAATCCCGGGTCAGACAAAGTATCACTAAGTTTTTAAAAAAAATCTCTTATGGCAGTAGGCTCACCCCCCTATGGGGACTCATAACATAAATAGTGAAAAGTGGGTGTTACATTTTACAGTGGCATTAAGTGCCACAATGTGCACCTCTGCCTACCCCTTCGGGGTAAACAGGCGTGATGTTATGTTATGTTATGTTATTTTCTTGATTTTCTATTTCATGTAGGTATAAATTTTCACTATAGACTATCAGGCTTTATAGATCTCGGTATTTCTGCGTTTCATACTGTCTATTATAGTTCATAGTACTAATTTCTCGTCCTGGTTTTGCTAATGTATTACTGATTACCTACCTGACCCTGACTTTCCTGATTATTTTTTATTTTTCTATTTATCCATTTTTCTGAAAATAATAAACACAAAATAGGATTCATTCAATTTGGTCTCATTTCATAGGAGACTCACTTTTAACAATTTTCCGTCAAAATATCGTTAATAATTTTGCGGACGCTGAAGTGATCTATATTTAAATATTAATATTGTAGAGGTAAAGCTGAAGAGTTTGTTTTATTGTTTGTTTGTTTGAACGCGCTAATCTCCGAAACTACTGGTCCGATTTGAAAAAATATTTTTGTGTTGGATAGCCCATTTATCGAGGAAGGCTATAGGATATAAAATATTACGCTACGATTAATAGGCGCCGAGCAGAGCGAATGAAACCGCGCGGAAGTAGCTAGTATGTTATAGTTATCGTTGCTCACTGTGCTAATTTTCCGAGTAGGTATAATG